TATTACACAAGTAGTCAACACAAAGAGTGTGGCCAAACCAGGAAGGAAAGGGAATACAAAGACACTAACGTACTCCTATCTTTTCTACTAGAAAGAAATCCATTTATTCAAGATCCCTCATTATGCAATATTGAAACTGGTGTGGCGTCTGATTCATCTGTAAATGTTTATAATGCAAAAGAAATTGGATCAAAAGTCTTACAAAAAATGGTTGGTAAAAATGTGATGGAGTATTCTTTCAAAAGATCCCAGCAAGCAGTGACACTCACTACAAAGCCTGTAGTAAAATTAGATGGCAAGTCAATACAGGTTGACTCCCAGCTACTTTTTCAACATCTTACAACAGCTGCAACTAGATCGGAAGAAGACATGTCATACATATTTGGATATTAACTTTGTAGTATTCCATCTGCACTGTTTGATCCATCAGGTTTCCCAAGGCAACCACATTTTTTGGGCTTTAGGAGACTGTGGAAAACAGGAGTTTATTACTGAGAATGTTCAACATGTATTAGATGGAGGATCATTATTACAGTGCATGCCATGGCAACAAGGCACAGATTTCACAGATATTTGTAATGTGAACGTAGATTATATATCTAAAAAGTATGTGGATCCAGTAATTATGTTTGATGGCTACCAGTCAGGACCATCAACAAAGGAGGTAGCCCATATGCGGCAAATGCATGGAGTTTTCGGTTCGAATGTTAACTTCAAAGACAATACACCATTTAATCCATCAAGACACAGTGAATTCTAACATGATCCTAGTGGTTTTCTCCTATACATTTAAGACAATTTGACATCTCTCACTGAAACACACATCTATATATATATATATACATCTGAATTGTACTTTATTCTGATTAATGTTTACCTGAAGTACAGCACAACAATAAAATGGCCAAGAAATATAAAAATCAAATTGCTTTCAAGTTTGTGTATTGTAAACTATTAAAAAGATTTTAGTATCAAGAAACACAAATATAAATAACTGTAAAACATGTGACATGAATAAACAAATAAAACAGTTATTTTAGCTATTTTACACAAGTAACAAGATTGCATAGCTTTTTCGTGGCTTTACACATGTGAACATAATTACAAACACAAGAAGACTGAACTTTGAACTGTTTCTTTTCACTTAGATACAGTGGACCACTCTAATGAAATACCTAATAAATACAGCATTGTCTTAAAAAACTCAGCCAAATGACAAAATGTTTAAAACTGTCAGATTCAGCAGAAAAGCATATCAAGAGCATGGTTGACATCACAGCTAGCCACCTGGGAAATGCGTAATAACTCTTCATGTGGTAGAGACTCTCCCACAACATTACGTAGCTCTGCTACACAGGTATCCACCTTCGCAGAGTCTTGTCGTGAGTTACAGTTAGAGACAGTTTGAATCTCCTGGAAAATAAAAACCACAATTCTTGTGACTGTAATGTATCATTAACACATATCAGTATTAAGATAAAAACCACGCTTCTTGTGACTGTAACATATCGTTAACACATATCAGTATTAATATAGAAACCAAACTTCTTGTGACTGTAACATATCGTTAACACATATCAGTATTAATATAGAAACCAAACTTCTTGTGACTGTAACATATCGTTAACACATATCAG